TGCGGTTCGGCCCCCCTTGCCTACCATACCTTGCTCTCCAAGATCCTCCTGAATGTGGACTCGATAACACTGTGGAAGAGGTTGTAAAGCCAGCTGTGGAGAAAAGTACCGAGAGATACAGTCATTCTTCCTCCAGCTCAGAGAATGCTGCAGAAGTATTTGCCAAAGAAAGAGTGACACTAGAGATGCGAGACAGTGGGGAATGTTATTCCCATGCCAATTTGGAATCTAGTTTTGCCTTAGGGCTTACATTTGCAAACAGACCTGCTTATAAACAACATGCATACAAATGTATTGACTGCCTGAAAACTTCTCCCTTAAACATGCAACCACAGTAGGGCAAGTCTGGACCAGATTTAAGTTCTTTCAGTTGCATCTCTGGATGGAAATTACATTGCAAGAGTCTAGAGGCAGCTGAATAGTGGCGGGCCGAAGGGGCAACCTGCAAGGGGTAGCTGGTGCCAGCATCCTATTCCTTGCACCAGGGCCTGAAAGCCGTGCCACGCTGCCTTTCATGTTCTCATACCAGATGGACTAACACACAGGATTTCTAAGCCTTAACAGTGAAGTTACATACCCAAACTTGCCCGAAAAGTATATCCGAATGTTGGAGATGTGAGTGCTGCAGTCAGAGGCATCAGCAGTGGGTTTCCCGGAGGCATCACTGCCCAGCGTCAGGCTGATTCTGATATAGAGATCCTCAACCTTCAGGTCAAACGAACCATGGTCCCTACTGCAGGGAGGTCAAGAAAGGGGGCATTTTTCACTGGTGAGTCCTGGTGGTTGGACCCTGAACCAGCCAGAGCTTCTAGATGGAACTAGCTCAGGCTTCCCCTTATAGAGAACATCTAGGCGAGAATACTTCTAAGCTCAGAAAGACCAAGCTTCAGGAGGAGAAAGAAAACAGTCCAGATCCAGAGTGGGAAATGCAGAGTGAAGCATGTAAGTGACTGGAAGATGCTCTCAGGGAGAGACACGGGGCACCTACATGAAATACACCTTCACCCGCCAGTCCCCGTCCACCTCAGCGAAGGCGTTGGAGATGGTGACTTGCAGGCCCACATTGGGGACTGGGAAGATCGATGAGTCTGGCAAGTGGAAACTGCGAAGCTTCAAGCTAAAAATAAATAAGAGGAAAAGCACTTGAGAGGTGGTGCCTCGACCCCTCGCGAGCCTTGCTGCTGAGGGAGCTGGGCCTGAGGAGCGCTGGAGCTGGCTCCCTGCAGCAGCTCTCAGCTCCTGCTGGGCTGGGCTTGAAGTGTGAATGAGCTGCTGTTTCGGTGACAGCAGGGACTGTGTTTCCGAAGGTGCTGCTTCGCTTTGCGTTTCTGCAGTGTGTCACTGTGCCAAACTCGCCACTTTGAGCTCAGTTGCGCAAATAGTGCCTGCACCCAAATTGCCGTAACTCTAGTTCCCTTTTCCCCCATGCCAGGCAGGGAAGGTCAGAAGCAGGAGTGTCCCAGCCCGCTCTGATGACACGGCTGGCATCTCTAGGGTGCAGCGGGGAAAGGATCCTGCTTGCTGCTCCGGAGGCACCCCTGCCCCTTCCCAAGCCTCCTGTGCCTTGCGTGGGCGAGAGAGGAGGGAGCCACTCAGCAGGCTGGCCGGCTCACCTGGAGAGCTCGTAGTACACTTTTCCTACGTTCGGCACTCTGAAGTCCCCCGAGATATCTGGCAGCCTCAGCTGACTTAGCTCCTCCTCCAGGGCAGCAACTGCATGCTCACGAGCTGCAAGGGACATGGCGAAAACGTCACCGCCGCACGCTTTCCGGAGGGGCTGGAAGCATGTATTTTCCCGGTGCACAGTGAAAGCATTAAAAGAAACACCAAGTCAATGACCTGGCTGGTTTGCACCGTGTGGAGTGGAGGTCCTGGTATCTCGAGAGCTAACTCCAGGGCAGAGCCCTGTGAGCACGTGGGCTGTGGGATGCGTCACCTGGGCTCTGCCCGCAAGCCCCAGGGCAGGGGTGGCCGGGCGGTGCGGGAGAAGGGATCCGGCCCTCCTGCCTCGCGGCGCCACGGGAAGGCTGGAGGGAGCGCAGGGCCCTAACCCTGACCCATCCCTGCTCTGCCGAGGGAGGGAAATCACGTCCTGCTCTCCAGCACGGCCGGCAGAGCCGCTGGGGTAAATGAGATGTTTCTTGCACAGTATATTTCAATCCATAACTCCGCTCGGTTGGAGCCGGGGCTCTGCCTTTCTTGATAAAAGCGACGCGGGGCCCATCCATCTCAGGCGCTGCCTTCCCCCGCGCCTCCGCCGGCAGCCTGTGGTCTGGGCACGCCGGCGCTGCCTGCAGACGTGCGCGGCAGGAACGAGACCCTCTGCCCATGCACACCCTGCGTCCCCTGGGGCCGGGCTCTGCCCACCTGTGAGAGAAGAGGAAATCAGGAGCCAAACCTACCGTAGTTCAAGCCCGCCTGGGTGATCCTGACCTTGAAGCCGGGGTGGGTGGCCCCGGTGAGAGCCAGGCACGCGGCCAGGGCTGTGCAGACCAGCGCCGGGCTCTGCGCTCCCATCCTTGCTGCCCCACGAGGTCGAGTGCCTTGCGCAAGGTGCGGCACTACCCACTCACCCTCCGACAACTGCACCGCCTTTATAGTGCCGCGGAAAAAGGAAGCGAGAGTGAAGAAGGCACGCAGAGCCGCTGTGCGTTCCTGCACGGGACGGCCCCGTGTCCCAGCCCCCAGCCGGGGGGGCGAGCGGGAGCGAAAGGGCTTCCTGCTTGGCACTGCCCTGCTCCTGCCACGTACCTGCGCCCGGCAGCCTGCCAAGCCCCAGCAGCACGGCTGGCTCCTCTCCTTGGACACCAGCACGGACTAGTGAAAAGCAAGAGGCACCTGCTCAGGTTTTAGCTCTATGTCATATGCAAAGTTTTCCCCGGCAGCAGAAGCAGGCTCTCAGCAGAGCAGATGCGCCTCTGGCAGTGGTTTGATTCTGCCAGCCGAGCTCGATGGGCTTATTTTCTTGCTCGGTGCTCTGCCCCATCTGCTTTTCCTTCCAGCGTGGGCTGCACTGGAGCTGCCTCCGAGCCCTCCTGCCTCGCCGGGGACCTCCCGGCTCCTGCCCCTCAGGGCTCCGGCGCTGGCTACAGCCGTCATCAGTCAAAGGCACCAAACAACATCCGCAGCAGCACAGCCTCGGGCTGCATGCCAGCTAAAGGAAACAAGTTACCTTTCTTCACCTCATGAAAGCAAACCCCAGATTCATCCCACACCGAGCAAGGGCTGGCAAAGACCCGGGCTGGGTGGCCACGATGGTGCATTAGGGATGACTGAAATAAAGGAGCCTCCTCCTCTCTCCTGGCCCACAAAACAGCTCTACCACAGAGCAGGCGTGTGCAGGGGGAGACCCCGCTGCCCCAGAGACAAGCCCCAGGTGTAAAACGGCCAGGGTCCTGACGTGTCGCAGTGCTTGGGCTCGGGAATACCGAGAGCTGTGCGCGGGCTGGGTGTAGCCAGGCGGAGGAAAGGGGAAGCACCTCTCCCGCTGCAGCCCGAGCACTGTGGTCCCAGGCACGAGCCAGGCAGGCAGGACGTCTCCGTGCAGACTTCAGAGGGTGTCTTGTACTTTCCCCAGAGCCCTGCATAACCCCGCTGATCCCTGGCTGCGGCGCTTGCAGAGGAAGGAAGGAAGGAGAAACAATTTAAGTCACTTTCATTTCCCTTTCTGGAAACAGAGCCGGACCAGGCACAGGAAATCCACAGTGGCTGAGCAGGCAAATATCGCCTTTGGATCCTGGGAAGCCCTGGTTGCCAGAGGCAACATCCCTGAATCAAGCCCTTGTGAAATGCAGCTATTGCTCAACCACGGCAGCCTGAAGTCACCATGTAGCTAGCAGTCGTGGAGCCTGGAGAAGAGATGCAGCTCCAGCAGGGTCCGGAGAGACGGGCGAGCATGGAGGCATCGTTGCTGGAGGCAATCGGCACATGGAGGGTTGGTGCTGCCAAGACTGGGATTGCCACGTCCAGTTTGTCTCTTTTCCACGGATGCACAGCAAACGCACGCCAAATTCCTGCGCACGATGATTGCTTTGGAGAGCAAGACTGCTGCTGGCACATGCTCCAGCAGCTGGGGAGGAGCATCACAGCCAGCGTTGCCCCGCTCGCGGGCAGGAGAGTGGTCCCACATCCTGCCCTGGCCCCCTGCACCGGGCCAGGCACGTGCCTGCTGCGGCTGCTGGAAACAGGGCAGGAGAACAAGGAGAGGAGCCCGCGGGTCTGGTGCCGACGGTGCCCATCAGAGCCACGGCAAATGGCCCCTGGGCAGCTGGACACAGCGATGGGCTGAGACCCCCCGGCAGCACGGACCCCAGCTCGCTCCGGGGGCAGGAGCCCAGGGATCCAGCTCGTTTCCCATGGACAGTGGAAGCCAAGAGCGGAGCAGGCGGCTACGGCATGGCCCCACGTCACCAGCCCCAGAGCCAGCAGCTGCCCTGCTGTCAGCTCTCTGCTGAGAGCTCTTGCTCCGTGTGAGCGAGCCGCTCCAAAGCCTCCCGTTCATGACTGCATCTGAGCGGGGCAGTTTCGTAGTGTGTAAGGTCTTTAGGACGAGCATTAAGGAACCAGAACCTCGCCTATGAAGAGAAATGAAATTTCATGGGAAGCAACGTACAGAGGAAGCATAAATAGAAAGTTTTATACCTGGGTTTGAGGAAATTTTAAAGTTGAACCGAAAAACCTTTGCACAGCACAAATCCTACCAGAACAGTCCTTTGTTTGTCAAGGAGCAGCTTGAAAACTGCCCAGAAGCCCCAGAAAACACTTCTAATGCCCCATAGGAAGGGCTGGTCCTGGGCCCAGTGGGTCACGCTGGGGATGACAGCAATAAATAGGTTGTGAAATTCTGCCCTGCCCGATCTGCAATAAATAGGTTGTGAAATTCTGCCCTGCCCGATCTGCCCATTCAGAGGGAAAAGGGCTCCGCTCCACAGGCTGCTCCAGCGCCCCAGGGAGCCCGGCGCTGGCCGATCCGCCGAGGGAGGACTGGACCCGGGCGGCCAGAGCCGTTCCCTCCGGCCGCTGTGCTGCTGTCGCAGGAGCAGTTTCCCGTGCCG